GCTGAAAAAATGTTATACCATTTGTAAATATAATTTATGAAAGTTATAGTTCTTTCATCTGTGCTATTAATTAGAAAACCAACTATTTATATATGAAATTGAAACCTCAGGGATAATTTTCATTTGAAGAATTTGTTTGTCAAATTACTAAAAAGCTAAAAAAACTATTATATCTCTTTCCGTTAATCAGTAATGTGCCACAATATGTTGCACAAGCAACGAAAACATTTTAAAGAGAACGCTCTTCTCATAGTCCAGAAAAGTTCAGTGTCGCTTCACATGCTTTGGATTATGCCATGATATAGAGAAATATTGCTTAATATTATTGAAGCTGTACAACTTATTTTATTTTTACTCATTTTTGAATGAGAAACCCACTGTCTCTTTTCATAACTAATCTAATCATGAGAGTTGAACTGCAAGCAAGAGAAGAGTTGCATAACTTTCCACTAACTTTGGTTTTTAAAACACAGACTCTTGTTTCGACTCAACAGAGTCCTGAATGTATGGAACTGAAATCATCAAGATTAGATGTTTCCTCCAAAAAGCGGTGTGTAATGTGACTTTGACTTGCCGTTGCCAGGCAACAAACGTGCGCGCCACGCATCAAGAACGACCGCCCGATTCTGTTTGCCAGGAGCCAGTTTATATTCTGTTATTTCAGCGCCGATTACATGCATACACCGTTACCTACAATGTCTAAACTAGGTGATCTGAATAAATACCTATTTGAAGAGTATAAGAAAGGAAAAATTTCAAGATTCTTTGTAGCTACTAAAAAATACTCGGGGTAAATAATTGTAATAATTATGCTTATGTTATACTTGAACGGCCCCTAAGCTGTGATTACTGTGACAAAGGGTACATGGCGTCAGAATAAACGAGAGGATCAAATGCATTTCAAAGAACAAGATGCACATCCAATTTCAGAGACCAGAAAAGTCTAGTGTTGTTCAATATGCCTTGGAGAATGCCTGTAGAATAAATGAATATTGTTGACATTCGACTTTTGAATACTTTCACAAGTCTGGAAATAGCAGTGTGGCATGAGAAATAGAAACAGTGACAAAGGTCCCATTTCAAACAGTCCACTCTGTTAAAATTAGCCGGAAGTTTCCAGAAACTTCCCGCTAATTTGTACACAAGAAATCATTCATATATGACTGGAATGAGCCTTTTCCTGAGAATAGTACGAGAGGCAGCGCTAGTAGTAGGGACAAACATAAACTATTCACATGTAAAACAGTGTTATTTACGTAATATAATTTATTATTCAAAAATATAAATCTGATGAAAAAAATTATTTTCTGCTAGTATAATGTCAACAAAGCATTGTTGTTTTGCGAATTGTACATCGGATAATCGATATCCGGAAGAAAACTGTTTTTAATATCATTTATAAAACCTCATATTAATGAGGTTAGATGTAAGAAATGGATACATGCTTTGAGGAGAGTGAATTTAACAATGCAAAAAATAAATAAATATTCATATGTATGCTCTAAACATGAAATGAATAGTAAATTTTTCATAGTTAATTACCATTGATTAGAATGAGATATAACCTCAATCGTTTATTAAATTATATTCATTTATTATATTTAATTAAATTTATTTCATTACCATCTATATTTGATTCATATTTCACTCTGAAATAAATCTGAAATTCATAATTATTTTAAATTTCTTTTATTACAGTTTGAATCTACAGCTACTCTTTTACCAGAGTGTGTATACTAACCTGTCTATTAATTAACTTTTTTTTCAATTACTTTTAAATTACGACATGCAAGCCAACTTTTTAATATTAAAACATTGTTATCCTTTACAGTTGCAAATTTTAGTTTTGCTCCAGGAACATCTTCTTGTGTTAATAACATTCTTTTTTAATTGTACTTTACCATATGTTTATATGAAGATTAGGCAGTGTTTCTCCCTAACGAACTACTAGCGCTGCTAGTGAGTGATTTTTCGTACTTCAGGAAAAAGGTTCATTAAATGTTCACTATGTTAGATACAAATAGGCGAAGTTAGAGTTAGGAATGAGTATAGTTCATTTCTTGATAATGCCAACTTGGTTGGTGAAACGCATGTCAAGAGTGTGTTGCAGTTCTGGTGTGTGGGTGCAGGGTTTGTTCTGGATTTTATTCTTTACCAATTTATTCTTTCTTTTTTATCACTTTAAAAGGTATGTACTTTTTTGAAGACCTGGGAACAGGTTTTATTATGAAGGAACTAGGAAAGTCCAGGTTGTAGGACATGAAATGTTGCAATTTTGTCACTGGAGAAGATGAGGTGTCTTGAAAAAAATATTAGTATCACGGGCAATATATACGGAAAACTTTTCAAAAATATAGTCTGATTTTTGATTAGCGAACTTACTAGCTTTTGATAGGTATACAGTTAAAGTCATAATATTGAAAAACACTGAATAAAAAATCTGAAAAAATGAGTTTATTTACAATAAAAAACACTATGGCAGTCGAAAATAATACTAACAATAATACAGGTAATAATAAAATAGTAAGTAAAAAACAAAGAAATATCAAGTCCGTTTTAGAAAAATATTATTTAAAACTTCACCAGTCTCTTTGAGTAAACTGTTCATAATCTCATTTGTAACTTGGTTGATGACCAGAAGCTCATCTTTATCGTAGTTGATCCATTTTGGCTCTTCTGCTTGAGATTCCATCACTAATATTTCATCCACGTGATCTCGTTTTTTTCTGCTCCATTTGATGATGGCGTTTTCTCGTTTGGCGGATTTTTCATAAACGAATAGTTCTTTCAGTTTTTTGATCATGTATGCCTCCAAACCGATCACATCCAATGGTTGAAGTACAGCTAACCGATTTTTCTTATTCGAACGTAACCAAGAAGGACCCTTTTCTTCCTCGAACTGGCTGTAGTGCTCCTTTGCGATTTCTTTGCACAAATCAAACACAAACTTGTAACACTCCTTGATGATATCCTTAGAAATCAAACTCAAAGTATTTTCGGAAATGCAAATGTTTTCTAGATTTTTCGACAAGTAGGCTTTGTGCAATATTTTGGCGGAGTATTTGCAGATTTCCTCAATTTCGCTGGGAGTTGGAATGATAGTAACAGGATTTCCGGTGGACAAAGATGAGGGTGGTGTGTAAGGAGGGGGTGGTTTATTAGGAATTTCCCTGACAAATATGTGAGGAATTTGTTGCTCCTTCTTCTGTTGTTCCGTTATTGCTTTTATCTGAAATGAAAGTAATTGATAGTTAAGGTGAGGCAAAATTCGTATTAGGAATGCTCAATTGTTAGAAAATGAAGATTTTGTTTACAAAGTACTCAAAATGACAATATACAGAGTTATTTGGTAGGATCAAATAAACAATGTGTGTAAAAACTGAATCAATCATATTTTGTTATAAATGATCTCAAATCCTCACTTAACAGAGAAGTTCATTAACACATGTTTATTATTCTTTAGGTCACTCAGTGATGAGTTATAATATTGTTGTATGGGGACAAGCCTCTGACAATAATATAGTACTTATTAATCAGAAAAGATTAATACACCTCATTTTCAATTCAGATTATACTGAATCATGCAGGACTACATTTTAAGAAATCAAAATCCTCACCATTGTTGCAATATACATTCTAACTAACATCCATAACATAAACACCGTACAGAAAGTCCCAGATGTACATAATTATTTACTCTGAAAAAGTACAAACTGTCATAGGAGTGCCTCAGGGCTCCATAACCGGTCCCATTTTTTTCTTTCATATTTATCAACGACATTAGACCTCAAATAGACATTAGCTCAGTTTTTCTGTTCGCTGACAACATCTCAGTTGTTGTGTCAGAAAGGGATATTTATACTCTAAATGAAACATCTAATGCAACAGTGTCTTGAGTTGTTGAGTGGTGAGAAAAGAACTATCTTTTAATTATTAATAATAAAACCAATTATATAAATTTCAGAAATGGCATGGAAGCCCCACTACATATCAATATAAACAATTCCGAAATGGATGACATTTTCCTTCAAATTTTTAGGGATTATGATAGATAAAGAATTGCGTAATATTTTGGTATCGTGCACCAACATCTAAGCATATATTCATCTATCACAAAAAAATCATAATAACTATACTTAACTGAAAAATGATACCTCTTGTAGACAATTATTTTTCAATTTATGAATTATGGCTGTTCATTGTGCATAAATATATAATATTGCAATATTCGCTAGAAAATACCTGCAAATAATCAATACATTTGCAATATAGTAAGAAGAGAAACATCTACGCATTTCAATACATAGAACAAGTCTATTTAAAAAAGATCCGTACTATAACTGTATAAAAATATATAATGCACTGCCTCCACATTTCAAAGAAATCAATACCATGAGTATTTTCGAACGAACTTTGAAGGAATATCTGATTGAAAATCCCTTATATTCACTTGACGAATATACAATGCACATATTAAGAGAGTTATATAGTGAATAAAATAAAAAGTGAAGGAGAACAAACATGTCAGGTGTGAGCAGAGAAGTAGGAATTACATGTATACTGTTGAATTAGACATGTGTCACAGTTACATATCTTTATATAACTAAATATGAAAATGAAAATTAAATGCTATTAAGTCAGTTAGAAATTACTCAACACTGTAGTACATATTCGTAAAAAAAAGTTCTTTAATTTCTTGTTCGAACCTAATGGATTTTTTGCATTCTTCATTCGAATTTGGTAACTTTTTGAAAAGTTTACATCCATAGTAATAAATACATTTCTGGTATTTACTTGTTAAATGCTTTGGTGGAACTAATAACAGTTTGTTATGAGTTTCGTAGATGTGATTAATTTTCTATGATTGAAAAAACTTCCTCTTTTGAAAACAAAACAGCAAACTTCATAGATGTAGACTGATATCATTGTTAAAACTTGGAAGTTTGTAAATGATACTCGACATGAATCAGTTGTTTGTTTGAAGGTGGTTGACAATGTTTCGTGGTGTATTTCATCAGTTCGGACTTCCATTGTCTAATATAATATAAATTGATTTGAAATCCCTGAAAATAGTAAAAGATTAACCGAAAATAACAATTTTATTAAAAAAAAAAGAACTGAAATTACCAGGAAATAACATACAAGCTACAACCAGAAAATAACAGGGATTTCAAATCAATTTATATTATATTAGACAATGGAAGTCCGAACTGATGAAATGAATCAGTTGATTTTAAATTTGCCAAAATACGAAGAGCTCTTTTTTGTAAGACAAAAACTCTAGAAGCGAAAGGTGAAGTCCCCCAATGCATAATACCATATTTTAAGTTGGAATGAAAGCATCCAAAGTATAGTTGCCTGAGTATATCTTTACTACATTGTTGGGAGGATACACTCAATGCATAACATACTCTCGCCAATTTCACGCATAGTGTGTCTATATGGTCATTCCATTTCAGATTACTCCCAATAAAAAGACCGAGCAGTTTAGTGTGTCGTGTGCAATCAATTACGGTATTATTCAAATTGATATGATTTAGAACTTTACTGTTGGAATGACTAGTTTCAAACATTATTATATTTGTTTTATCAACATTTAGACATATATAAAAATTGAAAAATATCACCCTTTTGTAGATTTTGACATTTCAGGATGAAAAATTAAATTTTTCAGTGAAATGATTAATTTTTTTAACTTACCTCCTGCTCTATGGCTAACTGTTTTTTCAAAAGTTCCTCAGCTTCATTACCGAATAAGCTTGTTGACGGTAGGAAGTTAGGTTCTCTTCTTGTAGGTGATACTGCAAAAAAAAAATCATAATTTAAAGAAAAATTGCAAAATTTGTAATTTTTGTCCTTTGAGAAAAACATTTCAAATCAAATCAGAATACTACTTCAACAAATGAAAAATGGGATATTGACTCAACTGGTCTCGATGAATAATTAATTTCAACCTTCAAAAATTTGTTTTGGAAAACAATTTTTCAGAAATTGAAATCCATTAATTATTTTCTTTTAATTGTGTTTTGCATTTGCTACAATTTTAATTGAATTTTTGCCAGAAATTGATGCACTAACATTGATGGACATATCTGACTATACTGTCTGCCGAGGATCTGATAATTTACATTTAGAGGTTTGGTAATTAAAGCAAAATAATTTTTGATAGAAAGATAGAAAGCTTGTGAAAAAACATCAAAGGCATTTGAATAGTCAAAAATTCAAACAGGTATAAGTTTTCTATCGTTTTGAAAGTTTTTAATTGGAGACTGAAGCACTTTTGTGAAATTTCACTTTTGATTAACTTAGGATATTTATTTGACAATTTGCCATTATAATCGAAAATGGTATAACTGGTGACTTTAACATTGATTTATACGACCCTCAGAATACTGAAACTGAATATTTAGCAAATCTTGAATTCTTTCAATATGTTGTTAAATCAACTACACACTTTTCACTATCATTGATTATATTTGTACAAATATTTCTGAAGATTCTGCAATGTAATTAATTCAAGACTCTCTGATACTCTATATAGTATTCTTGTAGGAAATTAATACTTGTTTGAAACCAAAAAATTTAAAAATCGAAAGAATGTATCACAAGGAAAACTTCAATAGATTCTTTGTATCCTGCACTATAGTCAAATAGGACAATATTCAGAATGAAAATACCCAATTCATACAGTTTTAGATACTTCTTGAATATATTCAATAATTCATTTCCGGTAAGGAAAATAAAGCACAAAAACAAAAAGGTGGTAGCTCGCAACATGCATAAAAATATATTTTTTTTTAAACAGAGAGATTTATAAGCGAATTATCAAGTATGCCGAGGAAAAATATTACAAGAACAAAATAAATAAGTCAGACAACAAGACTAAAGAAATTTGGCAAATGATTGACAAATCATTTGCTAAGTACATGAAGTACCAATCCCTCGTAATATATGCAGAAAATCTCAGTTATAACTTTAGACCTGGTCAGGATCTTATCAAATATATTAAATTTAAAAGAATCAACGAAACTTTTATTTTATATGACACTGTGAAATAACACAAGTTGTTTCTGGTTTGAAAAATAAAAAATCTTCTGGAATTGATGAAATCTCTATATGAATCATTGAGAACCTACCAGATGAAGCATGGTGATATTAGTTCACCTTATAAATCACTCATTCAAAAGCGAAAAATTTCCAGAGCCATTCAAAACATGAATTATATTTCCACTACATAAAGGAGGAGACTCCGAAGAACCTTTAAAGTATCGAACAATAGTTCTACAACAGTTCTCATTCCAACTATAGCAAAAATAGGAGAAAAATTAGTAAAACTGAGGGTAATACATTTTCACAGAAACATAAAATCATAAACAGCTCGCAATTTAGAATTCAAAATGAATAAAAAAAAAAAACGCTACCAATGCCGTATTTAATCTTTTACGTGACATAGTTTTCTGTGATCTAACTAAAGCATTTGATTGTGTTGATCATGGAATACTCCTGTAAAAACTTAAATATTTTTTATTTACAGGACTCTCTCATCAAGGGATATAATCTTACCTATTGAATCGTAGTCAAATAGTGAAAGCTGATGAAAATTCAATTTTAATGTGGGGTTCCACAAGGCACCGTTCTGGGCCTAGTTCTTTTCTTAATTTATGTGACTGATCTAACAAATGTTGATACATTAGGTAGTTTTACATTATATGTTGATGGCCCAACTATAATGTGGAACAATACCAACATTGAAGACTCAAAAAAGTGTGTTGAGGAAGATATGGGAAAAGTATTCAACTGGTGTGAATCAAATCGTCTTTCATTTAATATAAAAAAAACAATTTACTCACAATCAAGTGCTCTTTATAAAATTTGACAATTAATTAGGAAGTAATAAAAAATACAATCTGTGCAAAATCTTTATGAATCCATGTTGACAATAAACCCAAATTCGAGGAACATTCAACAAGATTAAAAAAAAAAAATTCTGATTGCTAAGCAGTTGAAATGATATTGATAGAATTAGTGTGTTCTATAGCTGAAATGGTGTATCACTCTGTATTTGAAATTCACTTGAGGTATGTTCATTTTGGGGTAGTTGCAGCAACTATCGTTTCAAAAACATATTCAAAGTTCAAAAAAGAGATATAACAAGCCATGTAAATCACTACTTAAATTCTATCAAATATTAACTGCAGAATCATTATAATCTTAGAAACAGTATTGATCATAAAGAAACATTTAGACATGTTCGGCTTCCATTAAATATACTACAATACTCCCCAAAATAGTGATATTCAAATTCAAATTGAACTTACTCTTCCTTCTACAACTTTGAAAACTCATTTATTTAAAATGACTGTAAGATATATAATCATTCACCAGTTGAAATAAAAAATATAGAATACTTATCGAATTTAAAAAATCAGTGGAGAACCTTATGGTGAAAAAATTTTATTATAATATTGAAGAGTACTCTGAAGATTCCTTCTGGTACATTAACTACTTTAATCTGTTAATTTTGTTATCAAGATTTTTATACAGCTTTAGACTCATTTGCAATTATTTGTGGACGTATTGTTTTTTAATTCATTTGACATTATATACTATATTGTATCATTTAAATCTTCGTAATCATGATTTATTGTATGCACAATAAAGTATATTATCATCATCATCATCATTTGCATCCAAAACAAGAACTACTTCTAAACACTTAAACCACAACACTTTTCTCAAAGCATTATTCATCAACCAACTTGCATCTTCAAGAGATGAAGTAGATTTATCTTCGGTCTACTTTATTTCCCGAAGATGCCAACTTGGTTCGTTAAACACATTTCGAGAAGAGTGTTGCAGGTCTGGCGTTTGGAATCAATATCTAATTTTGAAAAGGTAATATTTATTCAATGAAAAAAATTGAAATAAAGAAAAACTCACCAGGTTCAGGTGAACTTGCAGGAGAAATCAAATCATACGTAGTGACATACAAATCCTGCATCCTGGGACTTTTGTCTCCTTTAGAAGATTGATTCGCCTCTGCCATAATCTCAGACACTCGTTTCCTGACATCTTTGGATTTGAATTCAGATGATTCACAACCTGAAACACTGCTTTTCAACTCTTCAGTCGAAATAGACTCCTCATTTAGGTCCGCTTTTTCTCTGGGAGATCCACCATCAGTAGGTGATGATAATGAATCTAGCTCCTTTTCTTCATAAGAATTGATGTCTTCTTTGGCCGTAATAGGTTCCGACTCTTTATCATCCATGTACTTCTCAAAGTTGTCTGCTTCATTACTTCTAGCAGACTCAATGATCCCGTAACTCAAATCCAGGCTTGGCTTACCAGATGAGCCTTCACTGTTTGTTGGAGAAGACTGGAGTTCTTCAATCACCAAGTTTTCTGTGACGCTTGTTTTCGTTTCAGAAGGAATATGTTCATTCGAGGATGATGACACAAGTTCTACAACTGGCGATTTTCTGGTTTCGTCAGTGGAAATATTTTCATCACTTTCAATTTCCACAACTTCATTAGGAGTCACTTTCTTTTCATCAACAACATTAGAAGGCAACACACTTCCATTATCTTCATCGCTGATTTCAAGTGGTTCAACAGAATGAGGTGACGTTTGACTACATTTCAAATCTACTGGTAAGTCATCCCCCTCCAAGTTAACCCTAGAAACTCCAGCTAAATCTATGGTGACTTCTTCTTGGACACATGAGTTTTCAATAATTTTATCAGCTGACTTATCAGTCAAATCCTCTAGAGCTGATACATCTCGCAGTATATTATTGGAGTTTGTAAGTGACAGTTTTGCAGTTTCTTCATCTGACTGGATTCTTTCATCTGATTGACTGATTTTCATTAATAAGTCTAAAGATTCACTAAGATCTTTGTTTTCAGCTGGTGGCGAAGACAGTTTCTCTGAAAAACTTTTGAGATCAGAATCTCTAGAAATCTGTAACGAATCATTCACTCTATCTAGTTCATTTACTAGATCACTATCCTTTTCAATATCAGATTTCTTCTCCAAAGAGAGATCTGTTATAACTTGACTCAATCTTGAAAGTATATCCTCAGTTGCACTTAAATTATTTGTAATGTTTCCATCATTTGTCAGATCAACATAGTTATTTGTTTCAGCTTCTCCTAATATGAGTAGAATTTCCTTTGAATCATTCAAATTGTCCTTTGCTTCACTTATAAATAAGGAAGATTGTGTGAGGGTTTCTGAATTTTCAGTAACAGGTTTATTAACTGTCAGCATGTGTAAATTCTGACCATTTTCCTTCTCATCAGTAAGATCATTATCTTCTGATTTTATTGTATCAGCTTCTGGAGATCCTTTCAGCAATGAAACTGAATTTTCTTTATAGGAATTTTGTTTACCCGTTTCAATATATTCACTTATATTAGATTCCTCAGCAACAGCAGCAATACAATGATTGATTTTCTGAGAAATCACTTCTGATTCCGTTGTATTTATCTCTTCCAATAGCATTTTCTCAGATGAAGATTTCAACTCACTTTCCCTCGATGCTCTGTTTGTTTCAATTACTGATATTTCAGGTTCAGACTCGCTTTTTTCAAACCTGGAATCCTTGCTGATATCTTCTGTAATATTTGTTTCTTCATCAGAGTGTTTGGAATGATTACTACCACGAGCCGAAATATCTTGTTCAAGTTTGCTGAAGTTGTCAATCAACAGGTTGATGCTCTGATCAACTACATCGACATCTTCATTGTTGACAATATCTTCGATTGATTCAACATCAAAATCAGAAACATAATCAGTTGAAGAGACGACCTTTGGCGGACTATGTATGGGGGAATCTGCTGCCGCTCTACCACTGATGGAGTGGGAATCTTTTTGTTCTGGAATGCTTTCACTAACACTACTATTTAATTTAGCTTCACTATCACTAGTCCTCCTGAGTAGTTTTTTAGATTTATTGGAATATTCTCTGGCACTCTTACAAAACCTTTCCAGAGCCATCTGAGACATAGGGTAGATTTTATCTTCGATGAATTTTTTCTTTTCACAGCCTGTTAAATTATACCATAGTTGATTCAGTTGTTTTCCTTCGAACTTATATTTCTCAAGTGGTTTGGAAGTAGTAGGTTGTTGAGAAATTATAGCGCTTGCAGTAGACTCCAATTCGGCTATCCTCTTTTCTTCCTCTAGTAATTTTTTGTGCCATTGCAGCAGTTCTTCAGCCGCCTTTTTACGTTTCTTAAGAGCTTCCTCTCGCATCAACAACGTCCTAAAACATACAAATTACATAACACGAACATCTGAATTTTGAAGTTCCATTCAGGATGGATTCAACAAAAACATTGAGCTTGCAACAATTTATGAATTAACATGAAGTGACAAACATATTTGTCATTCAACTAATAACAGTCTCCAACTGAATGAAGTGCTGATTAATTTTCAAACATGTATTTCCTCTGTATAGGAAACTTCCTAACACAAAACAGACTTTTGGATCGGTTCCAACAGGATATCTAATATTAGGTAGTTTGTTTTTAATCATTTCTAATTCTCATAATAACAACCTTAACAACCATAATTAAGGAGTTATTTTTAAAACCGCCTTTGTTGACAAACTCTTCATGCTAAATATATCATGTATAAGTCTTCTTACAAAGTGGGCAAGACAAGAGAAAATGGGATGATATAATTATGTTTTCTTCAATTAATATTCATTGAGTTAATAGGCACTTCATAAATTCGAAGAAATAATGAATTAATGCTTGCCTAAGACAGAGTTGAATTAAATGATGAGATATCATATTTCTTTAAGTAATCATGACTTCCAGAATACGAAAATTATACATCAAAATAACTGAACATATGGGTATCTTTTCTGCAGCAATTCAATATATGTTATATTATAATTAACAGCACACAAAAAATAGATTGAAACTGTTATTTGAATGGACTTTGGTGGTCCTTGATAATGTTATTTAATCCTACATTTTGAAAGTTGAGACCCTCGTCTCCCTTTGTCATGAAAAAGTCTCACGTGGACGTCTGAGGGTTGCTTCTAGATATATTTCTCAATATTTGTAAACTCCTTGTTGAGTTAGTTCTATGTGAAAAAACTAAATTCAACAGACTGAACAGATAGATGAACATACTTAGAAACAAAATTAATAATCTCATCGTTCCCATAAACAGATTCACCTCATTTAATAAAGATAGCTGAACATATTGTTCAGCACTGCTTTCCATATGATTGTTCAAATCATACCACAAAACGTGAACTGTGAAAATATCCAAGTCCAAGTGTTTTCAATAAATATATAACAGGTTTGGATTATGAACTTTTTTTTTGAAAAGTTATATTCAGATGGCCCTCCATCCTGTTGTTCGATTACTTGAGATGGTATGCATGTGGCATCACAACAACATCAGTTTATATATTTCTTTCATGGTAATTCTGAATAATTAATTCTCATTTTAGTTGGGAAAAAACTCATTATTGGATAGTAACGTTAGTGAATGCACATGATGTTCATTTTTTGGCTTGTACAGTAGAAAACAACTTGAAATAAAAACTCAAATGAATCTATTTGGAAACTATTTTTTATGGAACATGAATGTTCATTTCTGCTTTTTTCGGCAAATAAAAATATTGGAAACAAGTTTTTCTAGTAAGACATGAAATGAAGTTATATAAATGTAAAATTTTCATTTTATTTCAGTTGTTTTATATAGATTTTTTTCATTATGCCTCCCTATGATAGAATTGGAAAATTCAGACTCTTATCGAAAGAAATTTTTCAGTGATCAAATTTTGAGGACGAAACATCGATAAATACATGTGTTGATATATGGTCAAATTTGTGGTGATAATTGGTTTTTGAAATACACTTCTATTCTTTTACGAAAACATGGGTATACACAAAAATCTTTGGAGTTTTATATGTCTTCCATTATAAAAAGTTCCTTTGCTTAATTTTCAAATTATTTGAAATGAAGGAGTTGAAGCTAAAAAATGAAATCTGTCAATTTTGTTTTATTTCGAATATCTCAAAAACGGCCATTGATAGTTGTGATTTGAATCATCATTTTTATTGTATCTTCCCATTTCTGAGGCAGTAATAGTAGGATTTCTTCAAACCAGTCTGTATAATGAACTGAAGTTCAATAAACATATAAGACTGGGTGCCACTCTTGACAAAAGTCGGCACATTTTGAGTTCGAAAAAGCCAGTTATCATATCGATTTTTTTGACCTTAGGAAAAAAACAAAGATGCAGATGAAGTAAATGTTTACATGACATCTTAAGGTGCGTATTCACCAAAAAAGCGAGCACGAGCGAGCATTCGTGTATGTTTGCTCGTATTCGCTCGACATATTGATGTCTTGTCCACACCAGAGCGAATATCTTCAAGTTCGTAGTCGTAGTTGATCCATCTACTTTGTTCGAGCAGTGCGTGCGCAATAAATATGTTTGAAGGTGCGTATTCACCAAAAAAGCCAGCACGAGCTAGCATTTGTGCTCATTATTGATTATTGATGCAGAATGCTCGTTCACTCTTGTTCGCTTGTACTCGCTTTTTTGGTGAATACGCACCTTTAGGAGAAGATTTCTAACAACAGATGTTCCTGAAACCAATGTTAATATTTGTGTAAAAGGCATTTTCAGCAAACTTCAAGAAGGTGGCCATTCATGTTTGTACCTTTTTTTTTAATTCATCAAAGCAGAATCAAAGTTGGGTATCTCACCGGCTCTTTCACAGTGTCTGAATGCATGCGAATGCTTTTTAAATATGGGTTTAGGAAAATACTGAGACACAAGAGCTTTAATTATATTCAAAACAATGATTTATTCGATGTTTTTTTTTTAGAGTTTTAGGAAACTTTTAATAAAGTTACTATTTAACGCTTAGTGAAATGTATTTAAGTTATTGCAAACTGTAACATCCTATTTTGTACTGATAATTTAGGAGATATCAGTGTTAGTGTTATATTCATATTTTGCCAGACCTCCCAGTTATACTTTTTCAGTAGAAATAATCGGTTATGGTTGGAATCTCTTGGTTTGATTGGTTGGCATTCTTCTACATGAACAATAGTTTGAGTACCACAGGTTGGGCTGAAGAAAATATTTGCTTCGTTGTTTGAGTAATCGTTAACTGAACCTTTTGAAGATATATGTTCATATCAAGACTTCACTTACACTCCTTCGTAGGGTATGCCAACATCATTACCCAATGACCTTTCCACTCTCTGAAATAAGTGATCATTGGGTCTAAGAATTGTGTACCCTAAGAAAATGTAGCGAAACAAGTAGGTTAGGTTTTGCCTGAAGTGAGTGGGTCTATTCGACCCTCCACCGCAACCCGCAAGGTTAATTGTGGCTCACACAATTCACACTCGACCAAATAAATCCAGCTTCTTAACGAAGCCAATTAGTTGGTATAGTGAGTGGTCTTTCAGGTCAGAGGGTAAGAGTATAGCTCTGCCGAACTCTAAAACCTGATTTGGTCCCCAGCGGGACAGGTACGAAGTATGTGCTCTGCTGTTTCATCATTTTCCAAACAGAGGCGACAAACACTGTCTTCCGACAGCCCGAGTCTTTGCATATGATGATTCAAATGACAGTGACCTGTAAGAAGGCATGTTAGACATTGTAGTTCATCCCTACTGTAGTCCATCAACTTTGGTTTCAAGTTTGGTATCAAGCTTCGAAGGGTGAATAAACGCCTTGTAGTAAGCCAATCCTGGAAGATTCTGCCAGAAGTCCATAAATCTTCTTGCCATCCAGGTGTTCAATGTTTGTTTGGCAAAGCCAATGAGAGGTTCTGGTCTGATGAAGCTGCTAGCAGCACCCTCTTTGCAAGGGAGTCAGCAGCCTCATTGTATTCCAGGCCATATGGCCAGGAATCCAGACCATAGACAATCTGTTAAGTCTTCCTATCAAGGAGAGTCGTTTTTGGCAATTTACTACCAATTTAGATGTTGTTCGGTAGGAGCCAAGAGCTTCCAATGCCGCTTGACTGTCCGACAATATTTTTATTATGTGTAAGAGGTTTTATACTTGATAATAGGGTCAAACTCGAAACCGGTCGTATAAATAAAATGTACCAGTGGTAATTAGACAAAAGTGTTTTATTTTATTTATTTCATTAACATATTTTTATTGACTTGTGTATGAGGTTGGAATGATTTTTCCAATCTCTCCGCACACAATTCAATAGCGTAAATTTCCGCTTGAAATACAGTCGCATAGGTTCCTAGGCAGGTAGATATCTCTGTCCTGGGTCTGCGACTAAAAACACCTGCACTGGAACCGGAAGGTGTTTTTGATCCATCTGTGAACCAACAACTAACTGCTCTTCCGGATCCGGAGGAACCAGTCCTCTCTACTCGGGAACAGTACTTTATAAGGCAGTTCATAGTTGACAGTTGGAGGAATAAAGTCAGAGGTCATTTCCAGAATGCTGTGACTTCCGGTGTCAACCAACAGTCTGTTGCACTCTGCATTAAATTGATTTGTGCCATTAGCAATATGCACAAGTCTTTATGCAGTCCATCTAGCCTCTCTCTCCAGAAAAACGTGTAGAGGAGACAAGCCTGTCTCTGTAAGCCAGAGAGTTTCGCCTGAGCGTTTTCTGTAAAGCCTTTTGCCACCAGGCGCTTGCTTCATAAGTGATCATTGGTCTGACAATCATCACATAAATCCAAAGGATTTCTTTGGGACCTAAACCTCCAAGTTTTACCACAAAGTGAAACAAGTAAGCCTGCTTTCTATATTTGTCCAGGAAAAATTTTTGTCATAGGGCATCAGTTCACCAACGACAAACATCTTAATTGGCTGGTCTAGATAGAGTTTAAGAAGTTTCAAGAGATAAATCTCGATATTTCATTTGATTTTACGTCTCCTTTCAAACGAAACTTAATACGAATATTGTTTTACTTTGATGGTGAAAGGTAGTGTTCCTAACCTGACAAGATATTCTATTTTTGTAAAATCGTTTCTCAACAAGACTAGAAATTGGGTCATATTTGTCAAGACGAAACACAAGTTAGTTCTCTCGACAAAAGAGGACAAGAGAATTACTTTCATCATATTAATTTGATTGTGAATTTTTATTTATTATCATTTTGTTACAGGGTGTTACAAAAAAACATCCAACCCTTGGAAAATAAATTATATCCATCCATCAGACAGCAGGATGATGAGCTTGTTTTGCTGAATTCCAATCTGTTTGACTATTTGTGCATGAGTATTAAAAATAAAAGCAAACTAACCTCTTCATAGCTGATTGCTGCTCTATTGATTCTGGGTCGGACTGCACACCTCTCGAGGATACCTCAATTTCTGAGATTTCGGAAACTTTGCTTATCATCGAATGGTGGGAAGTTATACTGAGAACTTCTTTTTCTCTATCAGTAGAACTCCTCTTCGATATAGACGTTTCAGATCTGATTGATTCAGTGTGGTTTTGAATCACCTGGAAACATTTTTGAATCAATGTGATGGAATTGCCTGATATTCAATAAAAATACTTCATTGTGAAATTTTTACTGAGCGTGTTCAATCAATACGTATCATAAATGTGTAACTGATCGCTGTCTCTGTGTTTGTGTTTTCACAAATCTATTGGGGTAAATTTCACTTAACATTTAGATTTTGATTTGAATCAGTTCATAAATCAGAAGTTACATTAATTTAAAGAATCACGTCAAACATTTATTTGGCTGAAACATTGGTTAACTTTTTTTTGCTCATACAAAATTCTGTAAAAAAAAACAAGAACTGAAGTCTTTGCGAATGAACTAGTGGGCAACAGCTAATAGCAACTAAATTTAGTAAGAATTGAAGCTATTGTATAGTAAAACACATATTGCAACTCGTTATAATGTGACTGAAGACTTACTTTTAATGGACCAGATAGTCTACGATCTCTAGGGGTGCTGACTTTCATTTTCTTAAGCATACTATCAGTGGACAGTTGCTGCCTAATCAAGTTCCTCTGTTCCTTAAGAACTATTTTCCTCTCGATCGAAGCTGCTTTTTGCATTTGTTTCAATCTGAAATGCAGAAAAAATTACAAATCTATGCTTATATTGAAGACCAACAAAATGTATACCTCTTCGACATTATTTAAATCAACATTTTATTCTGACTAGACGTGATTGAAATAAATGCAGGTTGCTAACTAATCTCAAAGTTCTGAGAAATATTTTTCAGTTCACTCATAAAAATTCCAACCTTATGACACACAATTAGCCAGTTAGCCATTGTTTAATTTCTAGAATCACTGATGGCTGACAACTACCGACACACACAATCACAATAACAAATCTATTCTTGAAGTTGAATGTTTATTTCACGTCGTACATTCACACTGATAACATTTTTTATTGAATTGAATAATAGATAAGATAATCTTTCTGAATTGGTATCAAGTGTTTCAATAAAATAAGAGATTTGATAGATGTGAATCTGAATGACATTCTATTCAAAAATAAATTGAAAAACTTTCTTCTTGAAAAAGTATCTTATAATGTTGAAGACTTTAAGTAAAAGTAAAAAAAATGTAAAAAAGTCACAGATGCTTTTGAAAGTTTAGATGAAATTTTAATAACACCCTATTTTTGTTATTAGAAATGTTGAACAGTTCTACTTTTGAGCCTCACCAGGTACGGTATTGCATGCTGGGGTTTTGCAACAAACATCAGATGAACTCAGTTTTTATTCCACAATAGAGAAACATGACATATGAATAACATTACTGAAAAAACTTCTATATTGTCTGAAAGCAAAACAAATATTATTATTTATCAACTGGCATGAGGAATTCAAGAAAATTGATATAGATTAGAAGATCAGTAAAAGCAGTTATGTGTGACCAGTTTTCTTATTTAACATGTTTTGAACTTAATCTGAATAATGAATTGCTCCTTGATATCTTAAACTCAATTCACGAGAAAATCTCAAACTATCTACCAGAGTTTCAACCAATAAAAAATACTATAAGAGATCAACTTCTATTGCCCATATGGACAGAAATATCCCAAAATCAAGTAATCAGTGTAATTTTGTTTAAGCAAATATCGCTGATAACCTTGCTTATATTTTAATACGAAGGAAAATATTGATAGAATTGAGGAAGTACATAGTGGAAACTCAGTTTTAAGATGGAGGATTTATCCCGAAAATATGAATGTGTCAAGAACGAGACTATTAATGAGCCAAGAGGAGCATCATTTAACTCTGAATCAAGTAAGGAGTTGACAGATAGTTTTGGGTATTGTCACATTCTCAAGATAACAATTCAGTTCTTAAGGATTTATTTTAGGCAAAAGTTAAGGGACACAAAGAAGAAGAAGTTGAAAAAGCAAAAATGAATAATTACTCGTCAAAAATAAAGAACTCTGAAAATAAAGAATCAGGCCTTGAAAAAAATTCAGATCTATGAAAAGTAGCACAAAATTTCACTGAGCGCTTCAAATGTTAATTTATTTTGGTCAAAATATGTCCCTTTTTGTACTAGTGAAGAAAAAACACCAATACCAATTTACAAAATGAAAAATAAGACCTCTGCAGGTTATAATGAATTATTTACTATAATTGTGAAAAAATATAGACCTCATATTGAAACCTGACTAGAAGTACGATTGGGTTCACTTCCTGGACCTTTTCTACTTCTTCTGTAAGTAAATGACCTTCCACAATTTTTTTCAGCAGAAATAAATATAATAAATCTGCTTTAAATTATGAATACTCTGACAATTAGGTGATGAAAATTATTATCTCTGTCCATGATAATAATAATTATAGAATTTTACCAATGAACTTTATTTAAAATGTGTTTTGCTTCCTCAGTACATCAAACTATTCTACAATATCTTTTATATAACAGTAGGTAATAAACTATTTAATAACTTATCTAATATCTAATGATTTACTCATTCATCTAATTGTTTTTACCTAATGCTATATAAAAGATATTGTAGAATAGTTTTTTTCATTTATTGACCTTCAAAAATTACAAAAATGTTTATGAGATAAATTCACAACATAATTGTATAGGTACGTCAAGACTGAGGTGTAGTAATATAAAAATGTATATAAAATTTTAAAGCTTTGTAGAAATAAAAGTATTGAATTCTGTTAAAATGAGATAATCCTAGAGACTAGGCTTTGTGTAAGGTAGTACGTTAAATAGACAGTACTAAATATTAAGTCCATATATGGGAGAAAACATCTTCAATATTATAAAGTGGATTTACAAGAAGTGAATTTTTTAAATAATGTTTCAATTTTTTTTGTCTTGAATGTCTTACAATCCACCGGTATAAGGTTATGTAGTTTAATTGGCAGATAGTTGGTCTGCTTCATTGTTTTAGTGTAGTTCACTCGAGGTAGTCTATACAATTCTTTGATACACTAGGAACCCTGTAGCAAAATGCGTTAAAAAAATCATTGTGAAAACTCTATAATTATTTCTGCTTTGAGGGCGTAAATATGTTACCTTTGCATTTCATGCTTTTCTTTTTGATGATTTACCAGTATTCCTCTTTGTTTCTTCTTGATCACAGATGCTTCTTGAAGTTGCCCAGTTTCTTTGAAATGTCTGAGGAGAAAATGAAAGGTTACTTCAATTTCACAAATTATGACATCTATACTAACTTTCTTTGAATTTCTAACCAGGCCAATTCTCCTTTAGTTCGATCCAGCAAAACTTGTTCTCTGATTTTTAAAATTGTCTTCAAATTTTCTAAACGAGCATCCTCATCCTTGATGAGCTGTTCAAACTATAAAAACAAAAATGGAGACATTACTATAGCGCAAATGAATGTAGTATTCCTAAAAGTCCTTTAATGCAAGCTTGAACTTGCTCGATTGATATAATTTTTATACACTTGTAAGTTTAAGTAAGTAGGAAAATTCAGTTAAGTTTTTATACAGTTTCTGAAAACAAAGTGGTTTTGAAAATACGTTAACAATCTTGAACTTTCCAATCTCTGAACTCCTTAGAGATGGGGTCATATATCAAGTCAAATTGCTTGACTTCAAAGCTTCTACTACTGCTTATTCTTTCTTCATCATTGATGTTTCTTTTTTAGCATTCACAATAAAAAATTTTCATAGGTTTCTGAAAGCCTGAGGCATAGTGTTTGAAGTTGCCAGTAACTACTTGAGATTGTAATATGTGAATTGTAATAATATTTCTGAAGTCAAATGAAAGTTTGTTTTGTAACTAGATAAAATTGATAACAGAAATCAAGAGTGATTGTTTTTAAGTAGTTGACAAAATATTTTGAATTATAGTTATTCGTCTATTTTTCAATCTGATAAATCTTTTTTATTAGGTTCGAGAAAAACCACCACCCTCATAACACTTTGAATAGGAAACAAAATTTTAAAACTCCTTTGTACTAATAGGTACTTCTCATTCAATCGTTTGTCATTCAAATTCACAATTATCCATTTTGGCTAGGAAAGGTATAGAATTGACCATAACTAGCTGGATCTATGCCACGCTGGTAAACAGAACTGCAAGGAGAGGCCATTAGGTTCAGGGTCACCAGGGGCTGCCCTCAAGGTGGGGTACTATCTCCCCTTCTGTGGTCGCTTATGCAGATGACCTCGTCATCCTGGTAAGGTCCACGTCGGGAAGGGTAGCTTGTAATATCCTCCAAAGCACGTTGGACGATGTTCACAGTTGGTGCCTGCGGGAGCAGATATCTGTCAACCCCAGCAAAACTGTGTTAACCAGGAGAAGAAAATTGGATGATCTAACGACAATTTCCCTCAATGGTGAGGTCATTCCATTTGGAACGGAGGTGAAATATCTTGGCATTGTCTTTGATAAAAGACTCACCTGGAAAACACTCACTTGGAAAAAGTTTTACACAAAGCCATACTGTCTCTATGGACATGTCGAAGGATTTGTGGTAAAACTTGTGGTTTAGGTCCCAAACAAATTCATTGGATTTATGTGATGTTTGTCAGACCAATGATCACTTGAGGTGCAATTGCCTGGTGGCCGAAGGCTTTACAGAAAACGGTCCAAGCGAAGCTCTCTGGTTTACAGAGACAGGCTTGTCTGGCTATCAGTGGTGCCATAAGTACCACACTGTCAGCGGCCATGGAGGTTCTTCTAGATCTACCTCCTCTCCACATTCTTCTGGAGCGAGAGGCTAGATGGACTGCATACAGACTTGTGCACATTGCCAATTGCACAAATCAATTTAATGCAGAGTGCAACAGACTGTTGGTTGACACTGAAAGTCACAGCATTCTGGAAATGACCTCTGACTTTATGCCTCCAACTGTCAACTACGAACTGCCTTATAAAGTACTATTCCCGAGTAGAGAGGACCGGATCCTCCAGGAGATGGAAATATCAAGAGCAGATAGTTGTTTCAAATTTCAAATTTACGCTATTGAATTGTGTGCGGAGAGATTGGATGAATCCAACCTCATACGGCGCGGCGTTGGAAGCTCTTGGCTCCAACCGAGCAATGTCTAAATTGGTAGCAAATTGCCAAAAACGACTCTCCGCGATAGGAAGACTTAACACATTGTCTCTGGTCTAGATTCCTGGCCATACTGACCTGGAAAGCAATGAAGCTGCAGACTCCCTTGCAAAGGAGGGTGCTGCAAGCAGCTTTATCGGATCAGAACCTGTCATTGGCATCGCTTTAGGCTTTGCTAAATATTGAACACCTGGATGGCAAGAAGATTTATGGACTTCTGGCAGAATCTTCCAGGATTGGCTCTTCCTTCGAAGCTTGATACCAAACAGTAGGGATGAATCATGATGTCTAATAGGCCTTCTTAAAGGTCACTGTCATTTGAATCATCATATGCAGAGACTTGGACTGTTAGAAGACAGTGTGTGTCGCCTCTGTTTGGATAATGATGAAACAGCAGAGCATATACTTTGTGCCTGCCCCGCTGGGGACCGAATCAGGTTTTTAGAGTTCGGCAGAGCCGTACTCTTACCATCTGACCTGAAAGACCACTCACCATACAAACTAATCAGAATCGTTAAGAAGCTGGGTTTATTTGGTAGAGTGTGAATAGATATGAGCTACAATAAACCCTTGCGGGTTGCGGTGGAGGGTCGAATACACCCACTCATTTTAGACCTAACCTAACCTAACCTACTTCCAGAATAAGAATATAAAAAGTTAATACTATCTCGAACCCAATATATTCAATAAATGAAACACATTGCTAAAAAATTATCAAAAATTAATCATTGGTGGTTGAAAGCTCCTCTTCTAAAAAAAAACTACACCATCGAGGAATTATTAGTGAATAACTGTTGTACTATGATTCTTCATTCTGGTTGCTTTAAATATTATTCAAAAACCTTGTCCTTTCTGTGATGCATATTGACATCATACATATATACGGACACTGTACATATTGGCATTTAAACTTACCATATTGAGGGACAATCCAGCAAAATTATTAGCTTGTATATTTTCAAAGTTTGACAAATTATCATTGCTTCTGATGAGGGATGAGCTTTTGGTTACATTCATAGGTAAAACATCTGTTCTGGTAGTTGAAATCAAACTATTACTCTCTGGTTGTAAAGCTGAGTTATTGAATATTTTGAAATCATCATCTACGGCAGAGGTGACAAATGATCCCCTTGAATAATTAATAGTAGACGTTCCACTCATGCGAGATTTGTCGGAGCCAGCATCAATTTCTGTACTTCTAGAAGTCGTTGACAGTTTTGCCATAGCAGAAGTTTGGGTATCTTGGTTCTGAAGAATTTTCGAAGAAGTAAGTTCATTGTTGGTTTTCAAAGTTTCAAAAACCTGAAAATAATGAAACTTCAATACATAATTCACTAGGTTCAACTCAAATCTACCTTCTCTACTGCAGAAAACTGTCGCAACGATTCGTTGAAGTCATTTAGAAGATGAATTTCTGCTTCGAATTTCAAATGAATTTCGTTGGTACCATTCTGCAATAAAATAATGAGCCAGTAGTAGGTAGGAATTAAATTTTATATTTGAGGACAAATTTAAGTTCCATTTTTCATATACAGTAAATATCGAAAACACTATTCTCAATGCAGGTTTAAAGAAATGAGTTTGCAACATCATGATGATTGTTGAGATTAGTTTTTTACAGTTCTGATGTGTGACAAAATTATTATTTTTTTGAAAAATGATCTAATGCATAGATTGCTCTTCCATCAAATCCATAATAGGTAATTTATGTTTATATAGGGTCTTTCATTAAGCCCTTCCTATCTTTAAATTTGAATAAAACAAAGCTTGTGTGAGATATCATCAAAATTTTTGATTCGTTTGAAAGACCTATTGAGGCTATTATGCAATATAACATCATACAAATGCCTGTCACGTCTTCTCTGGGTGGAGCGTATCCGAAACGTCCAATTCTCCATTACTCTGACTTATAAATCAATCTGAGTTTGACTGATAGCATGTGTTGTGTTGGTTTTGAGGACAGCAGTGGTTTGTGGCTTATTTGCATACACCTGGGACTCAAGAAAACCCCACAAGAAAAAGTCTAACGGAGTCAAATCGCACGATCTTGGTGGCCTGTTCACATCTCCTCTAGGTGAGATGACCATGCCCTCAAATCATTCGTGCAGAATATCCAATGTGGCATGAGCTGTGTGGCACGTGGCGCCGTTCTGTTGAAACCACATGTCGTTGGTATCCAGATCATCCAATTCAGGCTAAAAAAAGTTGGTATTCATTGACCAATAGTGCTCGCAGTTGACAGCGATAGCCTGGACAACGTCGTTCTCAAAGAAATATGGACCGATGACCCATTCATCCAGAAATTAGCCTCATGGCTAAGATGATTTTTCGATGGAAATTTGGGTCAGTTACCAACTGCTCCAGAGCCCATTCAGCAAACCCACGTCGTTGTCTATAGTCGTTTACCTTCAGTTTCTGTGTCATTTGAATTTGGTACGGGTGCAGGTCCAAGTAACTGCCTCGGATTCTCCTGCACACTCTCACAGACAGCGGCGATGTTTTCGGCAGATCTTGCGTTTCGTCGACGTACGGGTGTTGGTCGATCGTTTACTGAACCAGTGGGCTCAAATTTATCTAACGCATTGCGAACAGTCCTCTCGGTAGAGCGAATATGGCGACCGTAAAATAGACGAAGCACGCGGTATGTTGCCACAACAGAACAACCATGTTTACTTTGAATAAATACATAAATTATTGCTATATCCGTCCATTATGATTTGATGAAATAGATTGAATAAATGACAACTAATTTGACAGATGTAGCTTCAACGAGATGGCTATTATCAATTAACAAAGTTCGGAAGTCCCTGATGAAAGACTCTATACAAATTTCTTACTATGACTTCAACAATGAAAAAGAAAAGGAACGAAATAATGCGATGATATGATGAATAAGCTTTCTAAACACTGGAATATTTTATTTTGAAAAATCACCCACAACTGGTCTGCTCATGTTTGACTTCAGAGACATATTCTTAGTCGACCTGTTGATATCTTTATTTTCCTCTAGAAATTCTTTAATAATTTCAGGTTCTGTCAGAAATACACAGGGCTCTTTTAATGGCAGAACTCCTAATTCATCATTCTTCGAAAAATAACTGCTTCCCCTTTGTGTATTAATAGACTGAACATTGCTGTCAGATTTGGATAACTGGTTGCTGAGAGTCTTAGAAGGATGGAAGCTTGTATGGAGTGAAGTGAACTCGAGGGATGACTTGGAACTTTTGCCAGATTTTTTTGCTTCACTTCTCGAATGGACACTTGTCAATTCGTCTTTACTACAATATTCGACTTTTTTGGAATGTGGTTCATTAGAAAATACATCTGATTTTGAAGTCGAACTGATGGTTTGCGGAATGTTTTTGGAATGTTTCAGTTTACTTGAAGTAGCAGATGATTCTGATATATTTTTATTCTGTTCATTCTCCAAATTGATATTATTGCTGGTAATTGTACAAAAGTTTGTTCTCATATAATCTGGACTCAATGTAACGATTTGTGTTTCATATTTGGGGCTATTGAAAGCTATTATTGAATCTCGGCTCCTTGCCAAGTCTTGATAACTTAGATCTAAATCACTACCTGAATGGAAGTCAGATGTATATTCATTTTCTACAGAGGGTACAGACAATTTATCAAATCCTTTTCTTTCCTTCTCTGTGGATATAATTTGACTAGATTGGGATTTGGATTTTTCACCTACTTTTGATTTGGGAATGGAATGTGTAGTTCCTTTGTTAGTTGATATTTCGAGGCTATATTTGGGCACAGATATATTAGAGTTGATACTTGGAGGTATAAGTCTCATATTACTAATTTTATCAGTATTGATGGAAAGTTTCAGTTCTGAATTTAAGTTTTTCTTGACCGATTCTGCATTTTTCTTGAGAGAAGTTCCACTCTCACTTGATATTTCTGGAATGTTTTTGGACGTATCTGATTCACTACTTGTTTCTGTTGGTTGAGTTACAGTTCTGCTATCTATTTCATGAATTTGATGATTTCTTGAATTATTTTTGTTAATACTTCTTTGAGGAATCAATTCCAAATGATCAATTGATTTTGGATCCAAGTTCAAACGTTTGTGGGAAATAAATGATTTCATTTCGGAATTATTTTTAGACTTTGTACTTTCTTGTATGATTTCCCGTAACTGTTCTCTAGTTTTCATGTGTTCCAACTGAGTATTTGCAGACATGCCTGCAATTAGTGAACTGTGAACTGCAACATCAGTTGATGGTTTTGGAGAATTCACTGTATACTGCAACTTCCTCTTCACAGTATTGATAAAGTTGAAAGGATAGGCCTGAACTGGTTGCTCTTGTAGCCATTCCGGACATTCTTTCCTAACTTCTAAGGTTTGAGTTTCCTTTTCTAAATTATTTTTACTGGTATTCATTTGGCTGAAAACAGAATTTTTGATAGTTTCATTTTTTTTTCTTTTTGGGCTCTCAATTTGTTCTTTGAAAGTATCAAAATGTTGGGCAATATTTGAAATAACATTGATATGCCGCTTTTGTTCCTTGGACAATTTATTGTCTGTTGAGTCTTCAACTAATTCATTAGTTTCAGTGGATGACTTTTCTTTTGCAGCATGATTTTCTTGCATATAATTGATTTTTTGTAACTCATCTTCGAGAGAATTGAATAGGTTAACTGGCATTAAATGTTTGATTGGAGTGACTGCCCCATTTGTGCCAATTTTTGCATCAGATTTGGTTTCACTTTCTTCTGGAATGAGTATTTCTCTATGAGATTCAATTTGTTCATTTACTTTATTATTGTCAGTCTTTTCTCTATTAGTGATTTTCCTTTGCATATAATCAGGCAGAGGTGGATATAACAAATTGGGGTTTCTGGGTTGAATTTCTTTCTTTTTATCACATTCAGTTGTTTTTTTTGCAACATAATTATCTCTTGTATTTGATTTGCTTCTGGATTTATGGGATATTTTTTCTGATGCCTTTTGTTGTCCCCTTTCTCTAGAAACTGATCGAGACCGTGTCTGCTTTACACCGGTTTTAACACTTTCATTCCGAATATTTTCTTGGGGTCGAACGTAAACATTTTTGTCTCTGGATTTAGATCTCTCTCTTTTGGCTTGTACGTTTTTGGTAACTAATTCCAAAGACTTTTTATGAAGCTCTTGTAACTTTTTCTTTTGATTTTCTATCCGGCATTTTTCTTCATTTTGAAATTTCAATTGTTCCAAACGTTTCTCACGTTGTTTTTTGATGTATTGTCGAGCTTCTGTAACGTCATAGTTTCGTATTTTTCTTGGAGACTCCTTTTTAGTTATGTTTTCTTTATTACAAGGTACTTTTGGAATGTTTTTCGAAGTTTCAGGTTTATTGGTATGACTGGAATGTTGCACATCAAAAGATCTTATAATTTGAACTTTGTTTGGCGATGACTTCGAATTTCCTTCTCCTCCACTGGACCCATCAACTGAATTAACTATACCTGAATGAAATCCAGAATCCATAACATTTTTTCCTGTATCAATTAGGTTTTGCAGCTGCGCTTTCAGTTCCTCAGTTTGTTTTCTTGTTTCTAAAATTTTCTTAGTTATATCCACTTTATCTGCCATCTTACTCATCATTGAAGTACTTTCCAAGAATCTGGAACAATTCACAGTTCACTATGTTAGTATTTATTTATTTACGAATATACCAATAACAGTAACACATAAAATATGGATAGCAAACAGTATATATATACTTAACTCTACTTACATCTACTTGAATCTACTAAAATTAGTCTGTAGTCTGCATTTTAGATCACTTAGTGTGATGAGTGACATTTGCGATGGTTTCATGAGTTTTTCTAATTAGAAAACTTCATTAGAGGGGTGGTCATATAGTTCATGTAATAAAAATTTTGATCAAAAGTAAAAGATTTTTTATGCTATGGTAAAACTGGTGTTCGATAATTCTAGTCTGAATGAGATTTTCCATTCGATGTATGTCTATATAGAACAGTCATATACAATAGTTCGAGAATAACTTTATTCGAAATTCCTTAAAAGAATATAATTTCAAGAATTGCACATCAGTGGATTCAGGTGATCTAAACTTCAAGGAAACTATTCTAAATACGAACAAGAGTGTAGTTGGTTATATTGGACTCCACTTAATTTGCTGAATGAACTAAGATTACTGACAAGTTTTATACTATTCAAATTCTTATTAATCTCAGAAATATATATATACCAATTTATATTCACATAAACAATGCAACGAAATAAATATAAATAGGATAGTTTCTATTACAGAATAAGGGACTTGAGTAATCTTGAAACATGTTATCAGGTTTGATTCTCATAATACATACTCTCATATATTTCCACATTTATATTACTGCCCTTTTCATTGAAATGAGAGTCCCAACATACTTATATTTTTATCTGAGGAATCAATAAAACGTTTGATTCAAAATAATTGGAATCAGGTCAGGTAACAATAACAATTAGTTTGGTTGGATTTTTTTTGAAATTCAAATTTTATATATCTTAAAGCCGTTTCATGAAAATAAAAATGCTCACCTGGAAGATGCCTATTCTTGATTGTTACCTATACTATACTAACACTAAATCATCATTGTATTATTAAAACATATTATATTTAAGCTAACCGTCACTCATTTACGTGACATGAAAATATAACCTAACAATTTAAAAAATAAAAATTGAAAAAGAAACATCAGCTGATAAACTACTCTCAGGTGTGTTCAAAGAAACGCTTTTTTCAGTTCTATAAGCATATACGTTGGAAGGATAAATCAGTTTCTCATTCAATGTGTTTGCAATCTCATGACGTCACCAGCGGTGCTGAGGCGAGTATTCAGTAATGTGAATAAAAACTAGTATAAGCAAATACTAGGGATTTCTTAAGTAAATGCTACGTTTTGTGTGAATAAACACACTAGCACTTGCTAGGGGTAGTAAATTCTAGAGTTTTCCCGGACGAGTAGTAAATGCTTAAAAAATGGTGTGAATAAAACTTTTGAAGTAGATTGTTCTGTAGCATATGCTTCGATATTTTCAAGCCTGGTCTGGGGCATGCTAGACTTTTTCCTAGCATTTACTACCTGTCTGCTCAGTCCACAATTTGTTGCTGATCATGGCTGAGTTTGTGCCTATTCGTCAACGTAAAATTTATTCTGTTCGCTCTGGAATAAACTAACGTAATTGTAATGAACTGTTAAGGTTTAACAGTGAGAGTGTTGATTTCCTTGCGGCACAGTTTCTTGAAGGAAGTGATACTCGTGGCGGTGGTATTTCCAGAAGACAGCAAATGGAAATATTTCTGAGGTTTGTGGTTGATCCTGGCTTTCAGTCTGGTGTAGCTCAAGATGTGGGTGTACATCTTACTACTGCTAACAAGACAATAAGGTACGTGATGAGTAGAGTAGTTGAACAATCACATAATTGGATACGGTTTCCAACTACAGCTGAAGATATGACCGAGGCTAAAGTTTTGTGGCAGAGACATTTTCGTTTGCCGTCTGTAATTGGTGCCCTTGATTGTACTCAAATTGAGATACAAAAGCCTGGGCTGCACGGTGATGAGTATATTTGTAGAAAAGAATATCCTAGTATAAATGTCCAGGCAACATGCAATGCATTGGAACAGTTTACAAGTATTAGTGCGGAGTGGCCCGGCAGTGTTCATCACGGCAGAGTGTGGAGGAATAGTCATGTCAGAGACATCGTGTCACAGTATGATGGAGCAGTTTGTCTTTTAGGAGATTCAAGATACGGTTTATCGCCGTGGTTGATTACACCATTCAAGCCTCCACGAATGCATCAAGAACGAGAGTTCAATCTAATTCATGCTAGAGAAAGGGTTATAATAGAAAGGTGTTTTGGCCAGTTAAAAAGGTGATTCCCAATCCTGGGAAACTGGGTTAGAGTTGCATTAAACAACATTCCACAAGTGGTAGTCAGTTGCGCTGTGCTACACAACATTGCCAAGCAGCTAAAGGATGACTTTGAGTATGGAGATCTAGATAACGTCCCAAATGAAGATGACCAATCTGGGGTGGTTCGTTATGAAAATCCCGACACAACATTAAGAGACAAAGACAAGCGTGCCAATATGATGGCGTATTTGAATATTCAGTCAGGAAATTGTTTTTGTGAAATTGAACTTAGTAACGTTTTCACGTTTTTCTCACGCAAGCACATACTTGCACACAATTTTGTATATTTTTATTCATTTTTTTTTGAGATATGAATTTGTTTATTCACTGAATAAAATTATCTTATTTTATATACTAGTTTTCATTCACACCATTACTGAATTATTTCAAATTACAAGTTTGATTACAATGGTAAGAATTATAATCCTACATTATTACAATCCAAAGGAAAATACAACTTATGTAGCCTACAATTAATTACAATGTGAATGAGTATGGCAATCATCAACAGTTACATCAGTTTGAGTAGACTTTTCAACGGTTTGCTTCTTCATGGTTTCCAACAATATAGTTTCCTTCTCCAGTATGATGTTATTCAGTTTGTATTGTTGCAACAAAACAATCCTTTGCAACTGCGGTGTGGACAGGTCTTCAGTTTCATCTGCTTCATGATTCGACACAATTTTTTCACTTTTTCTGATCTTATTTTTGTGGTGGTCGGCATCAGATTTAGTTTTCATCGGCTTCTTTGTTTCTTGGCTCTTCGATTCTTCATTTTCATTTGATTTCCCTTCAGTTTCTGTATTCGGCAAACTTTCTTGGATGTCATCACTGGTTGGTGGCTGAACTGGGGGCCCGACACTTGTGCCAACAGAAATATTACCCGGGATTTTATGGAATACTGGGTTATCATTTTCTATTAACTCCAAGAATGTTTTTTCCCATGGTTTCATTTTTCTGTTTCCCGTCACTTTTACGTCAGTTATCTTCTTGACGGTAGACTTCACATTGTTCAATGCTTTTATTAGTTGGCCTACAGTAACTTGTTTCCCCAATGCACCACAGTAGTCAGAACGTAAGGTTTCCCGAGTTTCTTTCTTAGCCTTCAACACAGCAGGGGTTTTTGATTTGCTAAGTAAGACAATGTGATCTGAAAGGAGACGTACAGAGTGCGATCAATTTTTTCAATTTTATTAAAATCACTGTCAGATTCTTCTGATGATGAATACATCTTCTAGCACGTGGTTGAACAAAGTGAGAGAGGGGGCGCCGATGTGGAGTAGACTAAAAGGTAGTGGAGGGGAGAACGTGTCGTGACAGGAACGTTAAAACCTAGCATTTACTTGGTCTAGCATGTACTACCCTATGAGTAAGTGCTTGGGTTTTTCCGGATTCCACTAGACTTGCCCTAGTATTTTCTACAAATCTTCATTCACACTGATTTGACCAAATACTTACTAGACCTAGCATATGCTAGGTAGAAAGTGCTAGTTTTTATTCACATGTCTCATTGTGTATTGGTACTATATAGTAAGTACCATTCTGATCATATATAGTACACTCCACACCTTGAGCCTTCTTTGGTTTTTGATCCGTCTGTATATATACGTATTGCATTTGTAGCATCTGACTCTGTGTTCTGTTTTATTTGTATTTTGTAGGGTTTATTAAACACAAACCTGGGCTCAATTGCATTACTGCATAGGATCAGACTCAATTGACCCACTCCTACTTAATGGTTTACACCAGCCGTGCGCAATCGTAAAATGGCCATTAACGCAACCTCCTCAACGTACAGGTCCAGAGGCGTCAGACCAGTAATTGATTCCATTGCCTCGGTTGGTGTTGTTGTCATGGCTCCTGTGATGTTTAAACAAGCCAATCGCTGTATTTTTGGATCGCCGTTGCTTGTATAACTTTCGATCCCCATGCAATTGCTCCTTACGTTAACATAGGTCTTATTTTTGCAGTGTAGATTCAGGGGATCACACGGGGTGAAAGACCCCATGCGCGTCCCACTGTCCTCCGACATTGCTCATTAGCCACATATGCTCTTTTTGTTCTACTCTGTAGGTGAGAGTTCCATGTTAGCTTCCTGTCGAGGATAGTACCAATGTATTTCAGCTCTTCAGATAAGTTTAGTTTGCTTTTAAGATTTCGGTTTGTTTTAGGCCCGATCAACTTCTTTTCCTGGTGAAAAGGACCATCTCAGTCTTCTTGGGATTGATCGACAGTGAGTGTTCCTTACTCCATGTTTCTATTAATTTGAGCCCATCCTGCGCTCTATCGCACAGTGTGTCCACAAATTTGCCGGTCTGCATGATAACTATGTCGTGTGCATATGCAATTGTGTAGAATCCATTATTGTTGAGGTGATTAATCAGGGTATCCAGAACTATGTTCTGAAAAAGGGGTGATAAGATCACTCCCTGTGGACATCCCCTCATGACCAGTCCTCTCACTATGATGTCTTCTACATTGATACTTATTGCTCTACCACATAGCATCTTGAGTATCCATTCTTCTACTACCATAGGTACATTCCTGGAGTGTAATTGCTGGGTAATTGTTGGAAATGTTGTTTTAACAAACGCTCCCTCACATGATTCGGCCCTCCACCACATGGTGGAGGGACCTTCCCGGAGTATATGCATGCTGATATGGATGAAGTGCATTGTGAACTAGTACTTCATCTCTTATGTACCGCTCACATAGCCTCTCCAGAGTTTTTAAAACACAACGGAGTGAGACTAATTGGTCGGAATGCTTTTGGCAATGTGTAGTCCATCTTACCTGGTTTGGGTATAAATACTACTCGTACTTCTCTCCACTTACTGGGAATATACCTCAGAGCTAGAGCGGCTCTGAATATTCAACCAGGTGCGGCATAAGAATATTCAATCCCCATTTGTAACAGTTACAACTGTGTCAATTTTTAGGAAAAGGAAAAGGCAGGAAAAGTACCCGTCAAAGAGCATACATGTCAGTGTTGGAAGAAGAACATCAATCGAATAATTATTTATAGAAATTATTGAATTCATATACAATAAATTTAAGGCATTGAATTGTCTTGATGATAGGTTGAAAAAAGGTAATGATCTCGGGAAGGTGAGAGTTTTAAGAAATTTCACTGAGGACAGAAGAAAATCGATAAACCAGTCACAGGTCGCTTTCACAGAACAAATAATAATTTTCCAAAAAAATAGTCAAACAGAAATCTGTTAACACCATTACTAAGAAAATAAAATATCCAGATATCCAATTATCTCAAATTACTTTTAGTAAATATTATTTGACATCATTCAATAAAACAATGATCTAAGGTCAACACTCTTATAGTATCGGTCTACAGGAAATTGATATTGCATAACATATTTTTCTCGTCGAGGACATAGTTTGACGAGTGTACCACACCTTATAGAGTGCTTTATACGTAATGTATATGTATGTACCAAACGCACTCGATATACTTTCTCTGAAAGTGATTATAGCCTCTGGAATCATCATTTTTGACATTAATCCTGGTTTTGTATACGCATTGATGAATTCAGACTTTTATCAGATCACATTCGGAGTTTCTTCGCCATATTCATTAAGTGAGCAAAATCCAAATAATATAAACTATATATTTAGAGAAAAAAAGGTTGACATTTTTAATTTATGAAGTGTGGGTGAAAAATGTATTGTATAAAATATGTGTGTTCTCACTTCGACATAGAATTCAGACTTTTATCAGATCAAATTCAGA